TATGATTCACTTTTTGAAGTACACATAACTCTCGGATTTAAATCCGAAGTTTCCGCATTTATTTAATCTCTTTTCTAGCATTATATCCAAAAATAAGGAGTGTCATATATCTCATGGCATGAAATAGAGAAATATTTCTTTTAGAAAAATATGCATCAATTATTCTTACAGTAAGTTTCCTGTCTTTTTTGCTGTCGTGTTGTTTTGTAGATAATAGTGAACAAATTTTATCCAGATAAAGTTTCAGTTAGTATATATTGGAAATGACTACTGGCGAACAAAACTTAGATGAAAAAAAGATGAATAGTCAGCATATTTATGCTCTGTTGATATCAGATAAACCAGACGATTTTGATTTACAATTATTAATTGGCGATGATGAAGAAAAGGTTTTATTTAAGCGTATCGCAAATTTGCAAACAGAAAAACCTGTTGTTGGTGGTCTACCATATTTATACTATTTGGAGTTATCGAATGAGACAGATAAATATTTACAACCAACAACTTCATACTACTTAAGAATATCAGCTTCTGGCACCTTTACTTGGCATTATCAGGAAGACAAAGCATTACGAAAACGACAACGGTTGGATGTAAATGCAATGAATCATCAATTTTTGTTTTCTGTAGATTTTCAGCGAGGAGCGTGGAGGACAAAGCCGCCTTGTACTGGTGTTTTATATTGGGACCAATTATGGCAATATACATATTTTATAATCAAACAAAATGCTATTGGTATATATGATCAATTTATTGATCAATTTAGCATAACATATATTGATTTTGCACAACAAGTGGACATCGATATGTTTTTCCAACAATGTTTCACATATTTACCTACTATTCGAAACGTTCTGGATAACATAGTTCAGGTTAGTATTGTACTTATGCGTATGGTTGGACTATTAAATATTGATCAAAGACCGGTATACCAGCGAGAATCGATTTCCTTTATTGATATATTGTTAGAATCGATCCTAAACAAAATTGAACCATTTTTCAATTCATTAAACGAGAATCATTGGTTATTAGTAAAAGATGGTTTAACGAACTTACTCTGTCTTAAGTTTCAAATATATACTAAATCACAGAAAAATGATACTATAACATTTATTAATCGAATACCGCACACTAATCAATACCAACGACAAGTTGCTGATAGTGTAGCACATAAAATAAAGTCATCAAATAAAAAACCAACACAACCGAATTGGTTAGATTTGTTCAAGATGACAACAGATGATGCCTTAATGTTGGAGTGTTTACAATTAGCTAATACCTTTACAGAATATATAAACTATGCTGAAAGACTTTTAAATTCCAAAACCATACAAAATATTAAAGAAAAAATTTCTAATAATTTAAAAGTAATGGTAGACAAAAATCATTTTGACTTAACACTTGAAAATATTCTACTTTTATTCAAAATATTAAAAACTGATTGTACAGATGATTTACGTAACATTTTAGAACAATCTGAAGAATTATCCTCATGTGTTGCGGGTTATTTGAACATGTTACAAATTACTGATAAGAATCAATTAGGCTTATTATATCAAATACTAAACGAATGTTGCAATCCATATCTATTACAGTACATATCGAAGACAAGCTATATCAGCAATACTCTCACAAAACATCATTTTACCACGTCAGATTCTCTAACTGAATTTTATATCGAATGGTTCAACCGTTTCCTTTGTGACCCACATTATACGAATTCGAATAAGGAAGCAAGCAATTTCCTATATTTTTTAGACAGCTGGTTAAAACAATTCACTCATCATCTTCCAGCTAATATTGCTCTTATTGAATCATTAGACATACTAATTTCGATTTTAGAAAAAAGTGAAAATAAAAACAATAATTCAACACCCCGTGTCGATGTATTTATTAAACAAATCTTATCCAGCTACACTAAAATGGAATCTAATATGATTAAAATAGTAAACCACATTGGACAACATGTTAGGAACGAAAAATTCTTACAGGCCTTTAAATTACACTTCAAAAATAATGTCGTTCTAACAAATTTAAATAGAATGAAAACAATGGATCTTTATTCGCCGTTGTACCTACTTTTGCAAAATGCAAGAAAATATCCAAATATTAATCTAACAGCAGAACTGATGGAAATATGCACTGATGCAATGAAACTAGAAGAGCATAGTGTTCTTAACGACGCCCTACGGGATCCAAATGAAAATTCATTGCTTTCTTTCATTCTGTTTGATCCACACTTCAAAAAATGTAAAATTCATCAAACTGCGGTTAATGAATTAAAAAAAATATTAAAAACAAGGGAAGACAAAGGTATAAGACTTGAAGATCTCAATCATTCAAGACACTTTTCACCAGCTCAAAAAAGACAGTTTGATAAGATATGGCAATATGTTCAAAAATTTCGTGGTCAACAACCATCAATGGAGATATTATTAAGTACTGCACGTAAGGAAATGGAACAAAAATTAGTAATTAAGGAAAAAGTACAAACATGTTTAAAAATGTACTGCAAAAACGCAGATAACATTCAGAAATACCAATCAGCCATAGATCAATTAACACAACAACTAACAACGGACGCTATCAAATCCATCCAAATATCCAATGAGATTTTACAATTGGTACCATTCGCTGATGTTTTAAATCCATACAGCATGTCGAAAACATGGCTAAATTTTCGGAAGAACGAAGAGAATAATATTGATAAAGGTAAGCTTGACCAAAGTTTCTCCAGCCATAAAAGCGATTGTTAGACCTTAGGTTATGATGTTAATTTTAATGAATATGTTTAGAAGTGACAATAGCTTCGTTAATTTGAGATGTGGGTGGAGATGGAATGTGGATAGGATAAGGGTGTGGGTACGAGTGTGTCGGTTAGAGACGAATGAATTCCTACAACCACGCTCAAGCCAACAGCTTAGCCCACACCGGCATTCACACTATCCACGCTACCTACACGAACCACATGCACTCCCACCCAAACCCACACAGTCAAGCCCAGAACTGCACACCCACACCCTTGCCAAACAGGAAAAGTCTATTTTCGTCTCGCTTGCCCATTACGAAGTCCGCTTGAAATCGTTCGTTACGATCTCCGGACGTAAGGAAAAAGACAAGGCGTTCGGAGCGGAGTTAGGGGTTGGCAGTTGCCGTTACCAGTTACTCGGGAACGGTAACGGTCCGTTACCAGTTACCAGGGAACGGGGTAACGGTACTACAATTGGGGCCACCTTAAGATCCTAAAGTCGTACTATTGGAGGACACCCTTAGGCAAGGGGGAAAAAGCGGATCCTCGGATTCTTGGATCCTCTGGATCCTTTTGGATCCTTTTGGATCCTCTTGGATCCTCCGGATCCTTTTGGATCCCAGTTTGGATCCTTTTGGATCCTTTGAGATCCTAGGATCCAAAAGGATCTCAAAGAATCCAAGAGGATCCAAAAGGATCCAGAGGATCCAAAGGATCCGAGGATCCGAGGATCCGCTTTTTTCCCCTTGCCCTTAGGTCCTCAAGTGCTACTATTGGGAGACACCCTTAGGTCCTCAAGTGCTACTATTGGGAGACACCCTTAGGTCCTCAAGTCCTATTAATGGGGAGCACCGTTGGGTCCTCAAGTCCTATTATTAGTGGGTACCCTTTGACCCTCAAGTCCTATTATTGGGAGATACCCTTACGTCCTTAAGTCCTATTATTGGAGGGTACCCTTGGGTCTTCAAGTCCTATTATTGGGGGTACCCTTGGCCGCTCAAGTCCTATTATTGGAGGGTACCCTTGTGTCCTCAACTCCTCCTATTAGGGGGTACCCTTTGACCCTCAAGTCCTATTATTGGGGGATACTCTAGGATCCTCGAGGCCAAATGCCAAACCAGTATATTCGCCGTATTGAACTGAGTAGGAGCCCATACATATGCCCATCAATTGATAGAGCATCCTCGATAACCCTATGATTGGCCAGAACATGGCCATGTGTTGTCCTTACAATAAGAGAAAAAAGGGCTCTTGAAATCTGGTTGGTCTATTTTTGGACCAATCAAATAGCGG